AAAAAGACAACAGCATATCCCTATCAAAGACATGAACTTAGCTATGGGCATCAGTAAGTTTTGTTTAAATATGGACTTTGCATTTAAAATATGGGCTTCAAAATATGAGTTTGATGAAACTTTAGTTAAGGTACTTTCACACAATAAGTTATTCGCAAGATAGGAGACTTAGGAAAAAAAAAGTTTACCTGTATATTTTAATCAACAAATAACTTGGCAACTTTCTTAATTTCCTTTGGGAATCATACTATAATTGCGTTTCTTCTTAAACCAGCAAAAAGAGGTTACTTCCGAGAAGACCTAGCAGACCAGAGGCAACAGATCTTTCTTAGAGAAATCCCAGAGCTAAAAGGATTAGGAGTTATAACATAAGCACAGCACTGCTTTCTTCTCAGAAAATGCTGGGTTTAAAAACCTGAACATTTTACTCATTACTAAAATCTTAGTATTTCTAAAAATGGCACTGTAGTCAATGTTGAAAATTCAGCCATTGCACTGAGCCAGATTTATCACCAGCCTCTAAATCAAAGAGGCTTTTTCTGTAGCCTACGCAAGAAAAGTGCAGTGCAGGAGATACTGCTAAGCGTTATCAGACTGTGGGATGCTGATGTCAAAATATTTGGAAGTGGAACTAAGCTTATTGTTTCAAGTAAGTACTAAATGTAGAACTTAACTTCTGAAACATTTTTCTATGGAGTTAGACACTGGCTGCGTGAAGTGCTCCGCTATTTTAGCTCCCGCTGAATGCTTTGCAGGTTTTTCCTCTTAAACAGCATTTCCATATGCAGAACACAATGTAACTGGTTTGTATTTATGTATGAAATGGGGGAAACACAACAGCTATTGCAGCACAGATGTATAACTAACCCCATTATTATTTTCTTTTTCAAAATAAATTTAAATTTGGTAAAGACAGCATTTGGAGAACTGAAAGATGTTTTTGTCTTTAAATATGCATATTCAACCTTTGCGATATTTCTAATTCATTCTGAAAGAAAATTGTCAAACCTTTGGGTTACTAAAATTCTTTGAACACCAAAACAGTTTCCTCTAGGACTATGTCTGACTATACCAAATGAAAGGAGTTATGAGATATGCCCAGAACTGTCTGAAGATAGGCATAGTTGAAAGGCTGCTCTCTCTTCCTAGCTTTTGCCGAAACCACTTATTATCAGTTATTACCATTATTAAGGAAGAATGCCAATGCAAGATGTTTTGACATACTTACCAGAATTATTTTGCTTCAAGTAAACTTCAGGTGCTTTGATACTTGCCTGTGATTTGGCTCAGCTAAGCACCAGAGATGAAAAGAGTTTGCCTAATTTTGACCATCTGAAATTGGTGTATCTGGTTAGTGGGAGGCTCAATTCCAATCCATGCAGGGTTTCGCTTCATGTTACTGACAACAAAAATATTGGTCAGGGGTCTTGTGAGGCTCAGATCTCAGCATAACCTTCACCAATTTTATGGGGGTGTGTAAGAATCACAGAATGGTTAGGGTTGGAAGGGACCTCTGGAGATCATCTAGTCCAACCCCCCTGCCAGAGCAGGGTCACCTACAGCACGTTGCACAGGACAGCGTCCAGGTGGGTTTTGAATGTCTCCAGAGTGGAAGACTCCACCACCTCTCTGGGCAGCCTGTTCTAGTGCTCCACTACCCTCAAAGTAAAGAAGTTCCTTCTCATGTTAAGATGGAACTTCCTATGTTCAAGTTTATGCCCATTACCCCTCGTCCTATCACTGGGCGAATAGGGCGAATTACTTGGCCAATATCTGATCGAATAGATGCTCTGCTGGTGCTGCCTCTCTCCAGAAAGCAGAGATGGAGCCAAGATGCTCAATCTGCACCATCTGTCTAAACTTTGCAAAGACTAAAATTAGTTGAGATGAATCCCGTCCACTTAACAACATACCTCCTCTCAAATACCACCACACCTTTTTTTTTTTTTTTTAAGCTTAGTTTAGTTTAGGAAACTGCTCCCTTTTTACTTTTCTACGGTCTAAAAATTAATTATACAGCGAATCTGACTTTCTTTAAAGAATACTGTTTACCCATATAAAGATAACAGAGCTGCACTGTTATTGCAAAGACCTCATTCACTGTGATCGGTTATTACAACAAGGTGTTTGGCTCCGGTACAAAACTCATTGTGTCAGGTAAGTTACATGCTATTTTCCATACAATAAGCTAAGAAGCTTGGGGTGGTCATATAGATGAGAGTTATAGTGTCCCAGAGGGCACTCAGTCCGCTTAGAGCATCAGTTGGGACCATCCTTGCGCAGCATTCCCCTCCCCAGCTTGCCATTCCTACAGTGAGCCCTGTGGTATTTGTAAGGCAGTGGTTTAGGATCACAAACGTTTCTGAAAAGGAGCTATTTTGAGCCACTTTTGATCATACTCCTCCTTGGAAGTGTGGTGGAAAACGGCCTGTAGTAGTTTCCACAGCCCCCGTTCTTTCCTCCAGCTGTACTGAAGGAATAAGCAGGGAATTGAGCAGCTGTGAATTAAGAGTGAAAAACCAAAACCTCTTCCCAATAGAGAAAAAAGAGGAATATGCAATGGCCATTGCCAAAACCCTTCTTTAATTAGGCTAGTAAAAGTGAAATAATTTGTCCGTAATTATTGTTGTCATGTACACAGCACTTTGGCAGTAGAAATATATTAGTACCTCAAAATGCTCTTGATATTGCTTAATAACATGCATATGAAGAAGTGATCCGTTTTTTTGCCTTTCCTGCAGAGACGTTTATTTTAATGGAAAGTGGAGGACAAAAATCTGCATTTTCCCATTAAAAGTGCTTTAAATGCCATAATACTGGAGTAACACAAGGCAGAGGAAATACTGCTACCAAATGTTTTAAGCCTGGTTAAATACATAAACTTACATTAACATCTCAAACAAAGATTGGTTTTAGTGATTTATGTCAGAAAGACGGAGTAAATCATAACTATAATTCAATAGAAATACCCATGTCAGGATAAGTGTGTTGTTTTTAGTGAAAATTCTTACCTTGTTAATCAGGTAGTTGCCATGTTTTTGGTATCTACAGTTTAAATTATTTTCAGGCATCACTCTAATTCTGGAGGATTTTGTCTTTATGTGGCCAAGGCTTCTGATCGATTAATAGAGTAAAAGGGCTGTATTTACCTCGTGCTTAAGGTTAGGCATTTCATCACAGCCCGTCTTTTCAGAGGTGACTATCCAATATTAGCTCAGTAACTAGCTCACAGAAAGAAACAGAGAAAATCAGGACTTGGGATAAGTGACCTTAATTCAGTTGAGTCATCGGGATTTGAGCTTGAGCAGAATCTTTTCCCAGATCTATACTGAAAGAGTCAAATGTATAAAGAACCAAACTCCCATCAACTTGTAGTGAACTTGATTTTGTTCTTCTTGGTCTCTTTTAATTAGTGCTGACCAAAAGAAAGTTGCTCAAGACATACAATAACGCAGGTAACAGAAGGGCTGGGATTTAAAAGACTCATTCGGCATTTGCATTTGGTGGAGTAGATGAGTTTTTAGAAGCTTACAGCAGAATGGGAATATTAATCCGACATAGCCTGGCAATACAGGATTCTTCCATAAGTATCTTCCCAGGGAATTTAGGCACTCACAAGGTTGCAACAGGGAAGCCGAGACTGAACCAAAGACTGAACCAGCTTCTCCAAATCCAGTTTTTTTCCTTCAGCACAAAAGAAGAGTGGCTAGCTCAGCCAGCGTGGGGCTGATTTCCCTCTGCCATCTCTTCTGCTACAGCTGCACCTGGGTCTCCCTGGCAACTCACAGGCATATTGCTAACTTATTTTGAAATGATAAAAAGAACAAGCTACTAACATTTCTAGGAAATCATTTCGTAGCAGAAATTATGGCAGCAACATTTGATTTCTTTAAATGCAATCTCCCAAATATTACTGAAGTATCTACCTTATTTTCATCAAATGCATTGAGGTTCAGAGTTCAAAAAGCTACAATTATTTTTTGTAATTATACATTATAAAATATACGTTGCCCAAAGGCAGATACCTAAATTTACTTATACATTACCTGAAACTGGATTAAAGTGACCTTCTGCCCTTTTAAATCAAAATGGTGAAGATCAATGTATGCATTAGTTTCCATTAGTATTTTTTTTTAACAGGGAAAAGCATGAAGGCCTGAATCAAAACCCAGTAGACTTGAAAGTCCAAATGAGCATTAGGGCAGAAGGATGGAGCTGCAAGACGTAAATAAGGGAAGATGTGGCTGCTTAAAAGAAATCTGCAGAGTGAGAGCCTCTCACCATGATTAGTATTAATAGGAACATTTGCTAACGGCTTTCAAATATCATGGATTTCATGGGCACAAAGATGAATTCAGTATCCAAAGGCAATGTTCACAAACAGGTTTCAATGGGAACATTCCCCTGTTCACAGTGGTCTCTGTTATCCTAAAGCCATGGCCCAAAAAGATCAGCTTGAATTGGTGACAGCATGCAGCACTAGGCTCTTATTGTAGGATATATATTCATACACAGATGTACACGCGCATATATATATATATATATATAAATGCATTATTTCCCATTTTGTCCAAGTGATAACTTTTACTGTTCCTCATGCTTTCCATAGAAACCTCAGGGGGTGCTGAAGGAGTCTCAGTCTAGAAAATTGCAAATCTCAGGTGCACAGGATCTGCTTAAATTTTTCCATGATTTTGAATGCTGACTGTTAAATTAGGGCTCCATCCTCCATTGTGTCAGTATTCCAAATCCTCAGTTTTTGTGTACATGCAAGCTTATTTATTTAACCCTGAAAGGCTAACATAAGTGAAATCTGTTGTATGAGCAAACATAGGTTCATATATACACCGTTTTGTAAGGAAGGTTTTCATTCCAGAAATCAGAGTGTCAAAAGAAACAGGTGCATATCTGATAAGGAAATGAGGCTAGGTTTGGACACAAAATGAGGTTTTAATAACATTGAGACTAGGTGGGTTTTTGCAAAGCATTTGTATACAGTGACTACTACAAAATCTTCGGAACCGGCACAAAGCTTATTGTTTCTGGTAAGTTTTTCTAGTATCTAAGAAAATATGCTTTATTCTGATAATCCAAAATCTAGAGGAAAGGGAATGTGATATGCTATTTTAAAATTATAAGAGATTAAAATACAGATTTAAAAGTATAACACAGAAGAGTGATGTGGACTTTGCAGCAGCAGAATTCGTTGCTTTAGCACCCAAATGCTTGTATAAGAGAGGTCAGGGTAAGCTATAGGAGTTCACATAAACCATAAATTGCTGAAATAGAACTTCTTTTGGATACTTGGGGCTGCATCAGGTCATTCCCTTGTGCAAAGCTTAGTGCCCAGAGCAGCACGCTGAGGGTAACCCAGAAACACAGCCGAAGATCGCCCCTTGGTCTCAGAGCAGGGGGAATAGAGGTGCTGTACAGGAAAAAATTGTGAGTGCCAACAGATCCTCTAAACCACAGCTAAAGATCTGTATATCTCTGTTTGGTCAAGGGAAAGGTCTTTCCCCATGGATTTGTCCTAACAAAGCTGATTTATTCCAGCCAAGGGGAACTGAACTCTCTTGGATGCACTGCAGCAGTGGTTAGCTGCAGGCAGACAACAAATAATCAGAAAATTAAAATGTGGGGGGAAATCCTGGACCTTTGGAACTGTTGCCGTTAGTTTCAGTGTTGGCAGGATTGCATGGGAGGTGCACATGCTTTTCCCTGGGGAGAAGCCAGAAGGCCCCAGGGGAAGGATACTCACAGGAATGATGGAAGTTGATGCTTCTCTACAGCATATATAGACGTACGTGCGATGTTTCCTTTTCGTACTGACTATTTGCAATAGTACTGCGTGGGCAAGTACAGCAGGATTTGAGGATGAACAGTCCCAATTCTGCATCCATTTCAGCTTACGGTAACCTTAACATGCAGAGGATTGGGCCCAAAATCAGTAAATGCCCCTCCACTGGGCTTGAGAGGAGTAGTGGCTGTTCAGGACTGCCTTTCATTAATTCAGTTAAACAGTGGTCTAGCATGTGAGTATTTTTAAATCATGTGGTCAAAAACATGCATCATCTCAGAAAAAAATGAATTTTTCTAGAAAAAATCTAGACGAAATATGGTAGTTCAATCAATGCCTTGGACAACAGTAATTTTGGTTTGTTTTGACATATTTTTAAACAAGTGATGGCAAAGACTAGCTTGCAACTGAATTTAAAGTACGTACTACTAAAGGCTCTTTGGGAATAGCAGCATTAGCTGAGATTGAATTCAAATCTTCTATGTTCATGTAGCCAAATGAATAGACTATTGTTGTTCATATGATGGTTGTTAAACCTGGTCCTTGTCCAGCCAAAACATCCCAAACTGTTTCTGTAAGGGAATGTACCAGTGGGGGGGTTGAGAAGATATTTGGTTCTGGCACAAAACTCATCGTCTCCAGTAAGTGTTTTCAAAGACTTTTTTTTTTTTAAGTTTTGTGATGGAAAAGCTTTGGAGTCAATGCTGACAGCTCTTTAAGGTATCTGGGGAGGCTCACAGTAGGTCAGGAATATACTATGTTATTATCAATGATAGTACCTGAAGCTGCTGGTAAGCAGGACAAGAATGCTGTTTCTGAGCTGAGTGTGTTGAGTTCTCTCAGGTCCCACTGTCTTGATGGGGGAACTGAGGAGTTTTGAGTATCAGACAAAATTACTCCATTTTGTGGGATCATCCAAGTAATGATAACTTCAATTTCAGCTTAAGAACACATTGACCTTATTTAGAAATCTTATTTATAGGTAAAGAAACTGTATAGGAGTTTCATTAGGAAAACCTTTGACAGTTAATATATAAGACCATTTTGAACCCAATTCATTAATAGCTCATTGATTACAAGCCTAACTCCAGAATTTTATTTGCACAATGTTTTGCAGGCTCGCTGCATTATTATAAGAGAGAAAAGACAGCTTTTAGCTTAAGAAACATCTGCATGTGCTTACCTATTTTTTTAAAACGTAAGATATGTGTACCTCTTAAGACCTGCCTTTTCTAAGGCTGTTTAACGAAGTAAAGAGCAAAATTTTTGAAAGGCTAGTGAAAACAAAAAAGACAGTGGAGTGGAAGTTCATTACTTTAAAATTTTTCAGAAAGGATCAGGTCATTTGCCCAGAAAATCCAATGTAAACAGTCTCATTGATTTCAATGGCATTACAGATCAGTCCAAAAATACATCAAAATTTACAGCCAATTCTACAAGTTTTCATCCTTTTTTTCCATAAACTTACCTACAGTTTATGGATATTTTTTTTTTCCCACACACAAACATATATGTACATGTATATATGCAAAACTTAATTTATTCAGTTCTCCACTGTTATCCATTTACCTATGTCTGTACACAAGACTCTCCCATGCATGCACACAGTTGCAGTTACTCAAGCTGTATGTTTCCTCAGTATTGTGATACGATTTAGGTGTTTCATTTAAGCTAAGCACCTAGGGTGTTTTTATGGTAAATGTAGAGACATTGGCAATTCCAGAGGTGGAAATTATTCCATCTTAATAGAAGTCTCTAAAATGGGCAGGATGAACTAGCAGCTGGAAACATCTCTCTCTGCCTCTCTATTTAGATTTGATAATCCAAGAGAATAACATCAAACTAGACAATTAAATTTTAGCCTACTGAAATTGCTTGGGGTAACTTACTGAACTTCGAAAATATAAAAGAAACATCTGAAATAGTCATGAGGCTTTGCAGAGTGTAATGCCACTGGGACAGGAGCTACATCATGGTCTTCTGAACATATACAACTCTGGAACAAATAAATAATTTTAGAAATTAGTTTAATCTTGCATCCCCGGGAGGACTGATGCATAAAGAAGCAGAAAATAACCCCTAAAGTAATGTTAGAGAACCATAAAATTGTTAGCAATTTTATTTCTGGTACAACAGAACTCAGTCCACATCTTGATTTCAATGACAAACATCCAAAATGAGGAAGTTCATAGTATAAGGGTCATCTTTTTGAAGGCAGACAGCCTTATGCTTTGGTCATCTTCGTTTTTAAACACCAAGTATGAAATACTTCAAAGAATCACTGAGTTGTTTTAGGGGGGATGCAATGTAGAAGATTGCTCTAGAATAGCCAGATCGTTTAAAGAAAGGTGGAAGCTTTTTCACAAAAATACATGTTTATATTTATGTGTTTTCTCACAATGCCTGAAAACCGCACCACTCAGCCAGACGACACTTTAAACTCTGTGCATCTCAAAAGCTGCTCAAATTCGGTTGCGGAGATTTACATAGGAATCTAAAGAGAAAGAGTGGTGTAAGAAGACAAACACCTAAAATCTCTCCACTGCCTTAAGAAAAACAGTCTAAAGCAGTACCTTATATATAACAAAAGTAAATTTTGAAAACTGTATCTAGTCTTCATTTGCAGTTAAGCATAGACAAAAACGATTGCCCTTGAGCACAGCCTATGCATGCATTGCAGAATTTCATGCTTAACTAAAACAGACTCCTAAATTTCCTACCCACTTTTATAATATCAAAATGTCCTTTCAGTGTGGACAACATCAGGATGATTTGGACTCCTCCTAATAACAAAAGGTTTAATCCAGAGAGGCAAATCAGATTGTAAAATATTAATTAGACATAGCAGGTGTTCATTAATTAGCAGTGGGGGACATAAAACCGCAAACATTTGAAAGGTTTACCTTTAACATTCTGTAGAAAAAAAATTCATGTAGTTATTTTTGCATAAACATTATGAAGCACTATTAAATCAAACGAATGAACAAAGCTCTTTCAGGAACTATTACTATTATTTAATGATCATCAAAGACTTGTGCAGACAAATGCACTTTCTGACAGCAGTACTGTCTGGAAGGCTGTGGGATATAGGCTTTCATGTAGTTGCCTGAAGTTTTCTAACTCAGTTTCAAGGGAGAATATTAATATCTTCAACAATATCTCAATTTCTTAATGTTTCTCAAAACTGATTTTTCAAACATTTTTGAGTACGTTTCTAAGGCTGTAAATAACCAGACATTAATTTATTTTTCTAATAAAATACTCAAGAAATATTTTGTGAGATACTTTTTAATTTACTCTAGTATTAGAATATTAAAGAGTAGACCTAGTCTACTCTGGTCTTTCTCTACCAGATGTGCTGCTTGACAAGAAGCATGAATGAAGCAGTCTAGATGCTAGTGTTCACAAAACAATTTAGGACTTAAATAATGTTTCTCCATGCACATGGCACGGTATCAAAGCTTAGATCAAACATGCTCTGGACTCAGGAAGACTCTATATTGTCTAAACAAAAATTAATTTCAAATCATAGAATCAATAATATTTGAATTGTCTTGTCCTTGGATTTCGAGCTTGATTTTCCATATGATACTCATAAAAGCTTCTATTCATTTTAGTTCTCGATAAAATAACACATTTAAAAATAAGGTTAAAAGTCATATTTTCTATTTCCATTTAATCTAAATAGTATTGTAACTGGTTTTGACTGAAAATTAAAACTTGCCATTTGGGTCCACTGAAATAACATTTAATATAAAGTGTGTTTGAATGCCAGATTCATCCAGCTCACCAAAAACTTAATTTTACTTCAAGGATGGAAATTCATCTATTACCTAGAATTCCTCTCATACATGAGACATTTCTATTCCCATTCTAAGTATTTCATAACAAATCAGAGAGTTAAAACTTATGTTTATAAGACATTTAGGGTGTTGCTCTTCAGAATTTGTATTTTGTGGCTGTGTATTTATTTGCTGTATAGTACTGATCTTCCAACTGTCTATTTTGTTAATTTTTTTCCTCCAATAACCAATCCAGACAAACCACAGTCTCCACCGGCAAACTTTGAAATCCTGCAGAAGGAACATAAAAATCAGATAATGTATGTTTGCCTTATTGAGAAATTCTACCCAGAAGTTATTCGGGTGACATGGACCGACGGAGAAAATAAGGAGGTAACAGACAACGTAGTAAAAGGAGACACCTGGAAGCCCGCAACAGAGGATAAATACTCAATCGGCAGCTGGTTAACTGTACCAGCGGAGAACAAAGACAAGAACTATTACTGCAATTACGAGCATGAAAGTGGAAAGAACTCACTGCCGAAAGAAGGTATATACTACACGTTAATTCTAGGTATTATTATAGATATGACTTTTTCTTTGCAATAAAATTATAGCAATAATGCTTTCTATTACTGTTCCTGAAAGCATCTGTGCTCCTTGGCACAACAATAACTAAAATACATATCTGGAGAAACTATCAAAGTTTTCCCAGGAAAAGCAACTCAGCCTGTGCTATGCTGTCCAAGTGAATGTCACTGTGTAACAGGAAAACAGCAGTTCTTGAACCTCATCAGCTGTAAAGTAACATAGCTCCAAAAGGTCTGCACTGAGCAGAGTCGGTTACTTTCCAGTCAACAGAAGTTTCTGAGAACAGTATTATCTCGCTGTTACCCACGGCTTACAGGTGTAAGCCCCTCTGACACCCCCTGACATTAGTCACGGCTATAAAAAACTAAGGAGTCAAAAACGAGGTTGCTGGGGATGTAGGGCTGAGATTAAATATATTACTTACTCAAAAGTCCATCAATAGTGAGGTAATAACCATGTATCTCTCATTTAATTGTGAAAAGATTGATTATGCAAAACAAAATCTGAAAGACAATGAAATTTTAAGGAAAAAAATTAACCTATAATCAATGCAAATTGTTTAAAGCATAGTAATATCTTTAAGAAAAGCTGCATATATTGTTCAGATTAATCTTTTGTCAGTATTTACGTCTGTTCAATTTACTATAAATTAATGTAACTCCAATGAGTGAGAGCACAGCCATAAATAACCATTACATTTCAACCTTCAAAATACATTCTGACAAAATATTCTTTAAGTTTATTTACATGGAGGATGGGTTTAGGGACGCAATGTGGATGTCTTTAAGCCCATGTATCAATGCAACAAACACAAATTTGCTGCTTCAAGCACAAAAAAGTTTTTATTTTAGCGAACAACCATCACCAAAATAGCAAAGTCCCAATAGTGGAGCCTTAGGACATACTCTTCTCAAGATCATTCTTTAGCGTTGAGCAACCATAAAGTAACAGACTAATTGACGTCCCTTCCAATATAAATTATTCTGCATTTTTAATAACAGTAAGTTGTGAAGGCAAACAGACTCCAGCTACTTCAGTGACAAGATCAGGTGGTCAAATTGGTTGCAGTTCCAAATAAAAGACACTCAGCTAATGAACATCCTAATGGACACACTGCTGAGAGGGCAAAAGCAAGCCTCCCACTTACGGCAACAAATACTTAGTCACTTCTCTACGAGCGTTTTCCCCTTGCAACTTCTCCCTGCAAATGAATCCTACTTGTGAACAGCTGCTCTGCAGACAGATCTTAAACATCTTTATTTTGTTGTTTAATACTAATTTCCCATTTCGCTATTGCCGTACTGCCTCTTTTTTCCCTATTTCTCATTTCACGTTTGTTAAAATTAAAGAAAAGCTGAATTGGGGCATTTAAACTCTCTTTCCATTAGATTCTTCAAAGACTGCTGCTGAGGAAGAGGACTGCAGCACATATCTTGGTAACAGCACCGTTTTTAATAGAGGTAATTAAAATGTATTAAAATGTGGGAAAGCGATGCACGTCATGCAAGAGTTAGATATTGCTACATATGCTCAGAACATCACGAAAAATGATCTTTCTAAATATCATACAGGAAATCTTTGAACTCTGGGGTCTGTAACTTAAAAATACTCCAGTGCTACTCTGAATTAACTTCGGTTGTGGATTATAAAAAGAAGCTGTCCTAGCTTTATCAGGATGCTACAGATGCTGTTCAGGCTACTAGATTATAGCCTGCATTAAGTGCCACTGTTTTAAATCCCTGAAGTAGTTAAATGCTCAATGCTTCAGCTGATGCTCCATCAGCCTAGAAATTGCCCAAGCACTTCAGACAAAATAAATTTCTTTTATCTTGAATTTGGGG